AGTGGGAGCGGGAGTGTAAGGAGGCAGCGGCAGCGGGAGCAGTAGTGGCGAGCAGCGACAGCGGCGGCAGCAGCAGCGACAACGGTAGCGGCAACGACGAGCAGCGGCAACGGGAGTAGGAGCGGCGAGCAGCGGGAGCGACGACAACGGTTGCGAGCAACGACAGCGGGAGCGACAGCGGCAACGAGCAAGGTTAGGGTTGGGCAGCGACAGCTGATATTGATTTTAGTTGGTTCGATTGAACAAACTAAACACCGGAGACCGAACCAGACCTAAAATCCTGGTTCGATCGCCTGGTTTAACCCAGGCGCTCGTCCAAAGCGTCCAGCGCCTGGGCTCGGGCGAGCGCCCATGCGGCACCTCTTTGAAGCACGCTGCCTGGAAGTGAAGCGAGGCGCTCGGGCGAGGAGAGGCCTCACCTCGCCCGAGCGCCTTTTTAAATCACTGATTGGGAGGGGATCATCTATCAAGGAGGAGGAGGAGGAGGAGGGAAGGGGGCAACCGCAGAGGACGAGAAAGTGGGAGGGGATAGCGAGAACAAAGGAAAGGGAGAAGAAGCAATGAGAAGGAGAAGAGGGAGGAGGAGGAGGGAAGGGGGCAACCGCAGAGGACGAGAAAGTGGGAGGGGATAGCGAGAACAAAGGAAAGGGAGAAGAAGCAATGAGAAGGAGAAGAGCGAGGAGAAGGACAAGGGAGAGGGGTGCTCTTGTTAGTTAGGAGGGAAGCTATATGGGAGGAGGGAAGAGAGGGGTGTGATTGTGGAGGGGGGGAATGCGAGAGGGAATAAGAGGGAGAAGAACCAAGCACGCGCCTGAGCCTCCTAGCACTCGGGCTACATCCAATTGCAGACACCCACCTAGACTGCCCCAACCATTGAGGTGCTTGAGCCTCAGCTCGCCTCAACCAAGCACCTACACGAGCACTCAAGGCCCGATGACTTCCCTAGTACATAATTCTAAAATTTCTGCTTATTAGCATGGACACCTTTCGTTGATCATGCAAACAATCAACAAAATTAAACCATAGACATGTTACTCAAGTAGATTAATAATGCACCAACACCAGTGGAGTAATTTAAGCCATCCACTTTCTTCATTATTTCAATGAGCGGATTTTATATTTGATAAGAACTTTCACAAAAACATTGACATGAAGATACCTACAGTATACTAATAATGCACCTATACTAGTGGAATAATCTAAGCCATGGATATCCTCATTGTTTCAATAAGTACATTTATATTTGATAAAGATTTAACTTTTGCAAAAACATAGACATGTTGATAATGATATACAACATACAAATGTTATTTATGGTACATATCTATATTTGTACATATATCAAGAACACAGAAGTTTATACATGTATGAAGTTTATGGGTTGATATTATTTAATACTTTTGGCAGTGTACTACTACTAACTGATAACCTGGTCCAATATTTTAGCAATGCTTGAATAAAAACTCTTGAAAAGTTCCCTGACTCACAAACAATGAAATATCATTTGTCATTTCTTCTTCAGCTTTCTGCTTATTTAACTCCCATATAGCAATATGATAATTGAGAAAGAACCTGATTTTGGGATCTATTCTTTTTTTGAGTTTGGTCTTGGGAAGTTTTGGATGATCCTTCTTCCGCCGATAAAAGGAGCGAATCTTTGATGTTAATGGATGTGAGAAATGAACAAAGAGCATATCCATACTCCAGCTGTTCCTTTGCTTTTCATCATCCTATAATTTAGATTAGCATAAAAGATCCAAGACAATAGAAGTACTAAACTACAATGTCAAAATTCATCAACAACTAGCAACTAAGAGCACATGGAATAAATAATGTTTACCGTTAATGTGTATTCTACTCTTTTTACTTCCGCAAGAAGGCGGGATTCGTCAACGAATGGTAGTTTACATACTGCCTGTACACCAAGAGAAAGAAAGGTGTATGATGCTACATGAAAATACTGTAGAATAGAACCCAGAAATTATATTTCTGCCTGTCATTTACAAAAGAAATACAAAAATATTTAGTTATAGAAAGCTTAGGCAAAACTTTCAAGAGACATAATTAGTCTACATAACTATATGTGTCCTTTTTGATAGGATTGATACTCAACTATATGCCAACTTTTTCCAATGTTTCTATTCCTTCAGCTGTTTCAAGGAATTGAATGTCATCAATCCCATTCGTTCAACACATGGACACAAAATAATAAAGAAGAAAAGAGAATCACCATCGTCATATAAGCATGTTGTTTTAGAACAGTGGGCCATAAATTGGTTGAAAAGGATACCTATCATATTGGTTCCAGTTCAAATTCATTTTCACAGAGCAACTCCGAAATTTTACTAGGCCCTGAAATGATAGAAAATCTAGAAAAACAGATCCGGTACATCTTCAGTTAACCAAAAATAAGACTACATATTAATCTGATCATGGATTGCTCTGTAATAGACCTTGCAAGGTTCCTTAGCCTACATATTAATCTGACAAAAGTTAATAATTAAGTAATCTTCATAAAGTTACTTTCTTTATACCCTCAATTCAACTTCTCTACCTATTATATTCTGGTATACACTTATAAATGCAGATCAACTAAGTTGACGAACAACTTGAGCTGCACTTGGAAACCAACTCACTCAATCCCATATGTTCACAGAAAATAATATGAGCAGGATGACATAGGCTCAGGTGTCATGGAAGAATCAGCACTTGGCAACCAACTCACTCAACTAAGTTACAGAAGCTTCCTTACCTCTTCCATTCTGGTCTCATGCCTTTCTTCCAATAACCTACCTTATTAATCATATGCCCACCTCTGTTCTCCATATGGTAACATCATTTGAAAAAAAATTTGAATCAAGTCCTAATTATAGAAAAAGACGTGTTTTTGGGTGCCTATACTATCCGTGGTTAAAACCTTACACCCATAACAAGCTGAGCCCGATCTAAAACATGTGTTTTTCTTGGATATTCTTTCAATCAAAGTACCTTTAAATGTTTTGATCTATCAACAAAAAGAATTTTCATTTCTCATCATGTTGATTTTGTGAAATGTCTTTCCTTATGAATCGTTTGACTCCCTCTTACCCAAGCTTACTTCTAACAACCATGCTAATTGGGTTCCATTCCAATTTGGGTTGAAACATCAACCTCACTCATCAATTCAGACACTTTACTCAAATCCCACTAAGTCTAGTTCCATTTGTTGCTCCCTCTAGCTCAGGTTCTTCCTCATTCCTGCAAGATCAAAACATTTGAAAAAAAATGTGTTTCCCTGTTTAGTTTGTTATTTGATATTTACTCTGTTTTTGGTGTTTAATTTCTTCATCAAATTGACGAATCCTTGCATGCAGTATTACAACATGCATAAAAGTTTTTATTTCAAAATCATATGCACATTAATCAACAATTCATGTCATTCCATTCTGATACTGATAACTATTCCAACTAACATTGTCTAATCACTAATGCATGATGTTTTATAAGTTAACACTGCTAGATTACAATTGCAAAATTCACATCACAAATCAATTTCCAAAAGATGTTCTCACGACTTGTAAAATCTTTGGAGGTACTCATAGGTATGTAAGATTGTTAAAATCAATCTAATAACAAAAATCTTGCAGATGAACCGAAGGAGTTTATCACAGACCACCTAACCCGAACTTAAAGATTTTGGTTACTCATTTACAGGCATGAGATAGCTTGATTCATGATTACGAAAACATTCTTCTCGCTAAAGCTACTTGCCTCAACCAAAATATTCAGTCTACAAAATAGGAACACAATAATCAGCACATGCATATTAAACTATTATGCACGGAAGATTAGCAAGTGGAAAGAAACCCCTGTTGACAATGAGTACAACAATGATAACTAATATCATGATAACTGTTGGATTCTGTATTCCCATATTTTCCTCAAGGGATTCTTGCTGTACAGATACGTAGGCGATCAATGGTAGGATGATTCTTTTGTATTCTGTTGCACTTTTAGACATGCAGGTTGACAATTATATCCCAAAACAGGGTTTCTCGCAGGGGATGTCTTTTTTTCATGTGCAGTGGAGAATCAATCCAGTAGCCAATGTGAGCAACATGAAAAGGGCTTTGAATCCTGAATGGTATTGTGCAATAATTAGTCTGCCTCCATTATTGGTTTCTTAAGTGACTTGTTAGTTTGCCAAGCTCAAGGATGCGTCAGAGAATCTAAACGCGCATGCAGTATTCTTCATATTTATCCATATACAAGGCCACCAAATCATATTATTGCGTAGAAACTAGGTTTCATGCTGATCCTCTTGTAAGTTCTCTATTATTTTCATCTATTTGGCATATTAATGGGACCTACTGATTGGCATTTGGTACTGCTGAGCTATAATGCTCCGATTTTTCCATTTTCTTAGGAACAATAGTTTCAGTTGCACACCATGCTGACATAGAATTTAGAATCGGATGCAAAAGATGAGTTCATATATAACTAGAAGATGTGGTTAACATTGTTTTTTCCATTTTTTTCTGTGATAGTCCTATGCACTTTTAGCATAGGAGAAAGGCTGCCTTAAAGGGCCTTTAGTTCTGTAGACCACAGTCCACTAAGTGTCTCTTTAGAAAACAAAAACGACCACATCTATGTTTTTAACCTCAAGGACACCTCAATTAGAAAAAATGTCTAGATTTGGCAAATAATCTGGAGATAGAAATAGTTTAAGCAAGCATTTTTTAGAAATATCTAGATTTGGGAAATAATTTGAAGATAGAAATGGATTATCCAATGGAGGGGGAAAGGGTTAATGTATCTACATATACAAGATAGTGTTAAGATAAAATAACCATATCAAGTCAGTGACATAAATGATAATGAAGCCGAACATTTCATGAATGAAATCTTATTATGGAAGATGAAACTCTTATCGTTAACACCTCCGTGGAAATTATAGAACTGCAAGTAATTCATCATCCCTAAAGCCAATGGTTCAGATCATATTGGGAAATCACTATCAACATTTACAATATATGGTACACGAAAAGCTATAAGGACTTTTAAAGTGCATTTTTCTTCCTCCTATTGTCACCTATTGGATGCGTTAAACTAGTAGCAGAAGACCATAAAGGCATAAAATCAATAGTTTCGGGTTCAAAAAGGCAGATGGTGTTATCAAAGGCACTTATTTGGTGAAATGTGAATACAACTATCATAATTTCTAAGGATATAAAAAAGAAGATAACCACTTGAGGAGACATATATCATGCAAGCTAATATATGTCAATTTTATAACAGCACAAGTACAAGTCCATACTCAGCAAAGTGCAAGATAGGTGCATGTGCCCACATTACTGACACAGCAGACTACACAGGCATGCTGATATTAGCATCATATAAAATGTCTGGATCCATGACTGGCATGACAATACATTACAAAGGACAGACATAAATAATAAATATGTCATTTTAGTCATGAAAATATGCAGGATGTAGATCATTACCTGCCAGGAGAAACGCTTACCATTCATATCAAGCTCAAAATCTGTACAAAAAATTAATAATAATAAAGTTTTGTTTCCAAAGACACACAAATTTCGCATCCTTAAGAGTGTAGGCTAACCTGCTGGATAAAAATCAATTATCGAAGAAGATGGATCAGTCATCAAATTCCTGTAACGCAAAGGCAGTGCATGTGCACTAACCATGGACAACATGAACCACAAGTCAAGTTGATGCCAGCAAAATAAAGGAAATATCATTTAGCAAGCTTAAATTAGTTTGAACCTTGCAGCAGGAAGTACACCCATAAGTTGATTAAATGGCTTGAATGGGATTCCAAGTTTAAACTGAACTTCCAAGTCCTTCAAGTCAAGAAAATCTGAAGCAAATGGAGCATAGTGATATGGATAAAACCTGAAAATTGATTTTTTTTTGTAGTTAAAAAAGAAAAAAAAACAATATGCACATGCAATATGTGCATATACGTATAAACACAAACACAAATATATACAACGTAAACACATGTTCAAATATATATACAAACATACATATACAGAAATATAAATAGAGAGACAGATAGGATGCACAATAATAAAAGGAGTACACTAATGTATCAGATTTTTTATTAATAATAATATTATAAAGGTCAGATTGGCCCGACTTTCTTCTCCTCTTTTGAGTGCTTCCTCCCTCTAGTCTTGTTCTTCCTCCCACGACATTCTGCTTCATCCCTTTCATTCTCCAAAACCCTAAAAAACGCTCATACACACTATCTTGTAGAAGATTATCAATTTCCCAAGCTACAGAGGTGGGCAGCATACTATTATAAAGATCAGACCTGACATGACCTCTGGAACCCAATATCTGTGAGGTATGGAATTCCTAGGTCACATCAAATTTTCTGTAAATTAAAGCTTGGACGAGTAGAAACTAGGGGGAACACTAAATGTACAAACTACCACATAAACTTCCTGTTACTCAAAACAAAGTTAACCTAGAATATTTCAATAATATATTATATTCCTAGAAACAGGAAAGAGTACAGTATAATACAAGATAAGCAGATCGTAGCACAAACCATTGCCAGGAACAGACTCCTTGGTAGTAGTAGTGCATGACCCAGCAGATCCCTTCAACATACTTTTCAACCTGCAGTCAAAACCTGTTATTTAGTATCTGAATGGTTGTAGCTCTAGTTCCACTTTCAGTGAAGATTGAACAAACCAAAACTGGATATAGTAGTTAAAGTTTAAAGGAAGTTGAGCAAATATGAAACCACAAGACATGGAAAAAAAATTTCTTCATTTCCTAAAACCAAATCCTCGATAAATGAATTGATCAATAACCTTTAATATTAACAATCAAAGCTTAAGGCCCAAGCTTGCAAGGTCATATAGTAACAAATGATCTCAAGATACATGGCCAAGTATGAACTAAAACATTACTAATGAAACACTTGTATTTCATCGATTCACGGTTAGTAGCAGATGTAAGTTTGCTCACTGCATGTCTCTTGAGTTTCTGGCATTCATCTTCAGACTTGACTTCAAACTTCTCAGAATAGTACTCTTCTTTCCACTCCTCTTCTCCCTGCTGTACCTGCCCCTTCAATACTAAAAAAGAAATGAGGAATCTTGAGTGTGTTCTGTGAGCTTGTGCATAATTGTTTTATCACAATAGCAACATAACACATGCTCACACATAAACCCAAAGGAAAAACAAAAGCAACATAACAATGCTTTTGCAATACCAGATGCTGTACTATTTGGGTTGCTTCTGCCGAGAAAATTTGCAGACCTCTCGAAACTCTTCATCCAAATCTGCAGCATAAACAAAGGTCCAGTGAAATTCTAATAGCATTACAAGTCACAGATTCATAGTACTGATGAATCTAATTCTGAAAGGTTTGTTGGAGAAAATTAAACAACATTACACCCAAAGCTGTCGGATCCCAAGGAATTAAGGGACACTTACAGATCCTATTTTCTGTTCGACCTCCACAGCATCTCGCAAATGACTATTCATTTCCCTCTGTAACTGCAGATACGCAAGTTGAAAGATGAAATTAGTTCTTGTTCAACGATCAAAAATTGTAATCTGCTTGATGTAGTGAATAATTAAGTAAGAAAGTCATAATACACCAGGCCTTGTCATATTTATAGCTCTGGAAATGTTGTACTATAATGTCATAACTCAAAAGAGTAGGACATAAGTCATTTCATCCAATAAAACTTATGTTGACTAAAGTAATATGTATTTTCAACTTTTGCAATTTCTTGTATGCATATACCAAATCAAAAAGAATCAAATACAAATGATATTGATGTTTAAATTGAGTCTAAACTAAAAGTAATCTAAGAGGAACAAAGTTTGCTAGGTTATAGAATCTCAATAGAACAGAAATAAATAAGATAAGATCCTCATCTTTTCTGGAGACTTGTTGAATTACACATAGCATTTTATGTATCTACAACTTTGATAGAAAAAGTAAGTCCAGACTCGTAGCTCAAAATTAATTCAGTGGATTAGCACAAGCATTAAAGGATGGATGCTGTTAGATTACCAGCCAATCAAAGACTCTCTATCAAATCTCCAATGAAGCGCTTGCAATTGTTTTTATTTTGTCCTCTACCTACTTCATATTGACAGGGAAAGGGTTCTGTTTTGATTGTCAGGCTTTGCACATTTCTGGATCAGAGGCTAAAGGCAGTGAATAACCATCCACTAGTACATGCTCATTTAGATTTCAGTCTTAAAAGCAATTTTCAAAAGAATAATGAAGAACAAATTAGTTATCTGGTTGCACATGACTCAATAAGGCCTTAATAGTTTCCAGTAAGCGATCATCAACTAATAGAAGACTAAGAAACTATGAAGGGAACAAGGGCAGGTTTGGATTATTGCCTCCCTCCGAACTGCATTTACCCTCTCAAGGCATCAGGCAAACCAGCGGGAAGCAAAAAGAATAACACTGGATGCACTTATCTTCCTTATAAATTGAAATGTGTAGGCTTACTTTGTACCAATAGAACAGGCTCGAAGAGAGATGACATTCTACTGAGCTAGTACCCTGGGATGGGATGAGGTAAAAAATCAAATACAACAAAAGAGTCCAGATAGAAAAGCAATCATATGATAGTCTTCTGCCAAAGCCACAGAGCTTGAAGAAAGAGAGCAGATCACAGAGCTAGCTTTAGCTAAGAGCTCACTACCTGCCATTACCCCTACCCTATTCTTCTGGCCGCCTCATGTAAGACCAAGATCAGAATGAGGATAGGGCCTCAAATTACTACCTCTAGTCTCTTTCGCACATGATTTTCAAATGATTTATCAATAACAAGATCTTTGCTAATTTCTGAAATTTTCATCAAAAGTTCTACAAATCATGCCAACTGCATCCAGATGAAATTCCATTACTTTTATTTACAGAATTTAAGATTAATATTTTAAAGGTTAAAACAATATTAAGGTACCTGAATGCGCTTTCGAAAGATAGCACTTTCATGAGATCCAACTATCTGTAGGAAATGCTCAACCCGTTCCAGGTTCACCTATAGAACAAATAATTAGAAGCAACTAACGACCCCTTTTCTTTACAGTGACACAAAAGAGTACCAAAATATAGTCCAGGTGATTAACATAAGTTGAAGTTTCACAATTGAGTTTTTAAATTAAGATTATGTAAATAAAACAGACATTGACTGTCAATGAGATGCACATGCAGTTTAAGGCTTTAGCCGTGAATGCGCTTTCCCTCTATAAAAGAAATACGTATATATGTAAACTATTCTAGGTAGAAACTACACAATCAAAATACGTTTATCTGGCAAACCTCAAAAGAGTTGGTTAAATAACCACCCATTGCAGCAAACTCCTTTTTGTAGACGGTCATAAGCAGATCAATTGCTCCCTGCATGTGATAGAGAAAGAAACGGCATCAACATGACACGAACATACAAAATAAAGAATTGTATAAAGCCAAATAGTGAAATGTTAGCAGAACAACAGAAGATTATAACCTTCAAATTGAGTAGCTTGTAAAGAAGCTTTAAGCATAAGCACAAATATATCAAAATGAAAAAGAGAAAGCATCGCCATATCGAACCTCCGAAATTTCTAGAGAAGGAACATGGGGAAGAAAGTCATTTCCAACAAACAAACATATGAAAACAAAATCATCAATCAAGCGCTCCAAGTCAATCTTCATTTTGGCACCAAATATTTTCAGGTCATGTTGCAAGTAGTCTCTCAGTACCCATATATTGAGAAACTGCAAGAAAAATCAACTTTAAGCCACATATTCAGGAAATGCAACAACTGGAGCAAAAGCTAAATAGAACAATAACAAACAAAAGACTGAAATGAGTTATAGGGAACAGGATTTTAGATCTTACAGAGAACCTTTTTTGTCTTTGGTTCCTTGTTAAGGAACCAATTATTTCATAATAATACTTCTGTTCTATGTTAATTTCATGAAACAAGGCCCTAGCATGATATAGCTTGTATGGATGAGCTTCCAAGATTTTTTTTGAAAATATTAACACACCACTAACACCATTTTCTTCCAAAAAAGAGAGAGTAGATGCATCTCATGCACATAACTATTAAGGTAGGTGCAATTACAACATTCTAAAGATAAGTAACACAACTCCAAGCTAAAATGATCAGGCCATAAGCAACAAGCAACCCACATAAGCATTATTAGAATTTAGAAGTTCCTGAAGGACTTGAAGTCAGGTAAAATAGTAACCATTTGTGATTTTAAATATATGCATAAATTAAAACATCTACCTAGTATAACTGTTGAGAAAAACAATAACCATCCATCGTAATGACATCGGTGGATTAGGTTCACATCAAATCCAAGCCCATCATGATTTGGTCAAAATTATAAATTATTTTATCTAATATGATCCAAAGGCCATAAAAAAGAGCTACTAACCAAGAAGCTGCCAAAATACTTATACATATACTAAGTTGGTAATGGAGATCTGAGACTGTATTCAGGTCAGTGTTTTTAAAAGCGTTAAGCGCCAAGGTCCCAAAACGCTCAAGGCTCTAAGCACCCGCCTGAGTGAAGCGAGACGCTCCAAAATATTAAAATATTAAAATATATATTATAATTAATAAATATGATCACAAAAATAAAAATACCACATCAAGTTGAAATCACATGGCTCGGCTTGAAATATATACTATAAAAAATGGAGATCAACAAGGGAGCTATAGTACAGCAGATATGGGGTTTTTAGCTAGTTTGAAATGATTGTATTACCCGTAAGAGTAGAAGCAACAGTAGGTTTACCTAAACAGGTTGATTCCATGTCAATGTACATAGTGTCATGTCCTAATTCGACGATTCAAAATCTTCCATATGACATTAGATCAACGAATCCATATATTAGTTGAGCCCCAATAGTATTTGCACATTGATATTCAATTATCATGTGTATATATATATATATATATATATATATATATATATATATATATATATATATATATATATATATACTATTCATAATGATGTGATTCTTTGACCGCTACGCCTGAGTTGACTTGTAATTTGAGCTCAATCCCATTCGATAGGGCGATTCCTGGCCCAAATCTAGAAATGAGTGAGTCAACTGGCATCTTGACACAACGAAATTGAAACCAAGAGTGCTATTTATTATGATTTAATACTTAGCGTGCTACTTATTGCATTTATATTCACATCTGTCCATCAGGCATCACATCTTGGGCGTGAGAAAAGGTAGATCGTTAAAGAGAGAGAGATCATGTCCTCCAATGAAATCACATCTTCCAACAAGATCACGTCTTCTACCTCCAATCTGTCGTCGAGTACTAATCAATTCTCCACCACCGAGCACTGATCGTTTTTGTTGTATTCGCCTTCAAGTCAGTGCCCTCCTTCTCACCTGGGCCCCTTTCTCTTCGAATCTTGTCCTTTCTCTTCCAATCTCTTGTGCTACATCACTTTCACTTGAGCGCTAACCAAAAGTGCCTAGCATTTGGGCTCAAACGAGAGCCCAGGCAACGCTTTAGTGAATCACGTAGCCTGGAGGTCGTGCGAGGCACTTGGGCCTCGCCTCGCCTTGCACGAGCGCTTAGGAGAGTGCCCGAGTGCCTATTAAAAACACTGATTTAGGTTAGATGCAATGATTGGATGATCCCATATGACCTGGACCTCATATTAATTGTCCAATTCAAATCATATGTCACCATTTAGCATTCATCGATGGAAAACCATAGATCCATTTGTTGCATTCTAGAAGACATTCTACTATGAGTCACAGATCCTTTTTTTTTTTTGATATAATCAGAATGCCACATATGCCTTTCTTCAAAAGATTGTATGATATAGAAGTAAATAAGTTTATCAAGTCACAAACAACAAATACTTGCAACATCTCAAATCCATAGAGTTATCACATTAATTGCCTCACATGGTCAGATGGGCAAAAGAAAGAAAAAAGCAAGAAGGAAAAGTGAATTGAGATACAAAAGCCTTGGATTTCTTTGCCTCCCAACACACACACCACAAAATAAAAATAAATAAGTAAAAGCACACCCTCCTTTCTTCTCTTCACCATAGTTTTTATTATTTATTCTCCATGATCCTTGTTGGTGATTTTCTATATCCATAACTCTTTTTCAACATCCTACTAGTCTTATTGGTTAAGCTCCTGATGAATTGCATAGAGGTAAAGGAAACCTTATTAGTTGCAAGATACTGAATTGAAGGTGATTAAATCCAAATAGATTAACTCAACTCTGATTGACTGAAGCTCTGTGAAAAGCAGCCTACTGCACAGAAGTCCTATCAGTGCAAGGTCTAGGAAGAGTTCACGTGTGCAGCCTTACCACAAGAAAAAAGATTGTTTCCATGATCTGGCTGAAGCTTTTGGAAGCATAAAAAATTAATGACAGATCAATCAAACTGGAAGCATATAGGACAGATATAAAGCACGGTTAACAAATTAAAGCATCTCTGAAAGGAAGGAACAAGAAACAGTAGTGATGGTGGAGGTGGAGATAAATGGAAGTACGAAGAGAAAGAGAGAGTGAGAGTGAAAGAATGGTGCAAGAGTGAGGAGAAACAAGGAAATGACAGAATAAAACTCTCAATATCTAAAAGACATTGTATGGCACGAACCTGGAACTTTTTTCTTGGCACCTCATGGTTAACTTCATGATTCCACACTTTCCCTTCTTTACTTGAAGACTTGTTTTTGTTTTCAAATTTTGAAGTTCTTTCGGTACGCCTTGCAACACGAACGTCCTACACAACAATTTAAATGTTCAACAGTTGACAAGAATTAACAAGTATAGAAGACATGCCAAAGCTTCCCGAATGCAAACCTCTCTTAGTATAGAAAAATGTATTTCATGTGTTGCTAGTGCAAGCATGATTAAGTCAGCATCCTAAAACCACAGAACATGTTAATCTAACCTTAGAAAGAGCAAATAAAACCAATAAATAACTGGTGAAAGAAACATGGAAAGAAAATCTACCAAACCATACAAACAATGTCTTGCATTTGGGTCAAATCCAGGAAGGTTCCTCTGTGAGCGAATATATGATGCTATTTTGTGCTCGCCCTCACCCGGCACACTAGCATCTGATAGAATGACCTATGGAAAAGGTCAGTATTCACACAGGTCTGTTGCACAAGCACATACAGTAACTGAGAAACAATTGTTAAAAATATACCTTAATACCTCGCCATCCAGGATCACTATTTATTCTTAAGCAAATGTAATACCGAAGGGCAGACGACAACAAAGCCATGAACTCAGTCCCAGGTGTGATGACATTTGAATCCATTTTGTTGATTTCTTCTGGATTGCATAATTTCTCAGGCTGAGACTCGAAGTCATCTCTCAGCTTCTCTGCCTCTGCTGCCTAGAAAATTGCTTTAATCAATAAAAACCGATATAGATAGACTTGGGAGCTTAGATGATACAACGTTCACAACTAACTCACTGCATCAGCTCTATCTTTAGCAGCCCTGAACCGCCTCGCTCGTTGCTGATTCATCTTCGCTCTGGGAGCTACTCCATCTAAGAAACCAGGACGACTAAAAATAACCACAAATACATAGCAAAAGAATATCTAGGTTACTCCAAAATTGGAACCTTTGGGATCCCAACTCACCGATTGCCATGTACAGGAGCTTCCGAGGACGAACCAAGGAGAAAAGGTGATCAATGTACACGAACACTGCCTTGTAAACCTCGTCATACGACTTGGGAGGAGGCTAAAATGTCCGAAAATGTAAAAAAGTAATCAACTTCATTAAGATTCAAGAAACCCAAGACAAGACAAAGATACTATACCCGATCTTCTGGATGGAAGCAAGGGTGGACGATGCCGTTCATATCAAGATAGAGGTTGTCGAACTCGACGCCGTTAGGGTTCGGCCTGCTCGAGTCGATTGGAACCTGGACGCCATTGACGACCACGGGAGCTTCTTCGCGGACCTGCACCACCGAGAGGGGGTACCGATCGACCAGCCACCGGTAGAAAGCGGGAATTCCCATCCGTATCGATGCCGATTTCCCGAGTTCTCGAGAGGCGCTAGGGTTTGGGTTTAGGGTTTAGAGTCACCGATTGGGAGAGACAACATACTATATATACGAGCCTCTGGAAGAGGAGATACGGTCAGGGCGGTGACGGGAACTCACCGTTCCGTCGTATGCAAGAAGAATCAGGGCCGCTTCTTTGGGCCAATCATGATTTAACGCGTGTGCCATCGGCCCCACCGCGACCGAATGTTAATGAATGATACCAAGAGCCTCTCTGATCTGTAATTTATCTTTAGATTTCGTTGGGTTTCTTGAGAGTAAAACAACGTTTCTTTCTGATTCAAACGATATTTTGAAGCCTGTAATTGACAAAAGCAAGGATTAAGGCGATAATTTCAAAATTGAAAGGTTAAATGAGGAAAATACGGTCATTTGATGGTTTATTTAAGCCTTTAATCCAACCTTACGATTGTCAATTTGATGAACACACGATGAACCTAAAAGCAATAGGTAATCGAAAATATGTATTTTGTTTTGATGTTTCTAAGCCTAAATCAAATAATTCATATTTTCCAAAAAAAGAAGGAAGAAGAAATAGATGGTTTGAAATTTTCATATGCACCTTATTCATGTATAAATATTTGTGTACATATATACATACATACATATATATGTATACTTTTTATGTATATACATATAAATATATATATATATATGTATGTATGTATATATATATATACAAACATATATATATATATGTATATATATGTGTACACATATATATATATATATGTATGTATATATATACATATGTATATATATACATACATATATATATATATACATATATATATACATATATATATATATATATACACTACAAATTATAATGATGAATATTTTATTTCCAAACTTATAAGCATGGTTATCAGAATCTGATCATACATGGACTTAATTAAATTTTGGATTATGTCAGTGGAATCAATTTCAATCGATCATATCACATGTTTGGTAAATTTGTAGGATTTATATATAATCGTATATTATGTTAAAAATATAAAGTATATGAAAATAACTGATATTTTTTATAAAAAAAACAAAATGTAGGGAAGAAGCAACAATCTAAGAGGATGAGATTATACCAATTTTATGAGATTTTTATTATTTCTCATTATATTAAAAAACTAAGGTAATTACGAAATTTGTAAGTATCTTTGAGAATGATTTTTTTAATTTGTGGATCCAATTAGTTGAGAATCTTGTTCTAAATTTTATTTTGCCCGATTTTATATACATAAGATCACATGTGCGTATTGGAATATCCTAGTCATCCCCACACCAACACACAGCTTTCATATCATAAATATTTTCTTTATTCATAAAAATATTTTAAATTATATTTATATTATTATATTAATGTTATAGTCATCAAAGTAGTTTAGAATAATAACTTATAAATTTATATTCAAGAATTAATTTTATATGATATTAAAAAATAATAGTCATAATGACACATAATTTTGAAATGTATATAATTCTAAGGAAAAAATCAAACTCCAATAATTATATGTTGAGTAGGATAATATTGTTTTAGATATTCTTGTAGTTTTGAATTATACATCAAAAGATTACTGTATTATTTAAGATATTATTCATTCATAAATAATCTTCAATAACCACTGGATATTTATCTATAGTTCATCATAAGTATTAATATTGTTTTATATTTTATAGTGATCCTTTCCTTCGATACACTCTCGTATTTTTAGTGTTTCTATACACTCTAGCTCAAATTATCAAAATAGTTAAAGCATAAATAGTTTATACTAATTGTATTACTTCCTAACGTAATATTGCTTTTTGGAAAATCCATCGATTTGGTCGATAAAAATACTTTAAAACAAATGAATGAAATAAATATTTAGGAATAATTTAATAAGCTTAATGTTTGTAATAATAATAATAATTATAAATAACATTAATTTTTCATTATCGTATGTAACTAGTGCATAGAAATATTTGAGGATCATAGAAAATATATTTAAATATATCGATAAGTCATTGACTAATACATTAATAAAAAAAATTGACTATAATTAGTAATAATGACACTCGAGGGACTCACTATGACATCCTCAATTTGGTCTACAAGACTACAAAGTTTAAAATATAAGGTATAAATGTGAATAAATCTTTCCTCGTATAGTGTATTCTTAATTCTCTTTCTCCTTAGTTTGATCAATTTAAGATTTAGTATAATATAAATAATGCTAAATTGACTTAAGTGAGTTGACTAATATATATGTTTGGAATGAATTAATATTAAGACAGGAAAGATCTCGTAATATTTTAATTATTACTCAAGAGTACGAAAAAATCAAGTTGAAACATCATCAATCAAATAAATTTATATTTCTTTTATGACAATAAAAAGATATATAAAAAATTATTACATTAAATATATGACTTGGTTCGAAAAATAAATAAACTCGAATATTATAGATGTTCCTTCTAATACTTGTTGTATTGATTTTAGTACTTCAACACTCATGTTACCAATAATATGCAGAGATTTTTTTCAACCCGAAAATCAAAAGAACATGAAGATTCGTCGTTATAAGGAATTATCTTAAACTGGAAGTGATAATAATGAGAACTTATCGCCTACAGTTAAAGACGGATCATGTGATGGACCTTATAGATACATATTATTTTTTACTATTTCTAAAAATTTAGTTTTTCTATCTGATGAATTATGATATTATCTCTTTTTATAATGGTAAACTTAATATATTTTATGATTTAATAAAAGTTTCTTATGAAATTTTGTATGATGATTTATATAAAATTATTTAGAATCTTGAGTTTACAAAGACATTGGTAGATTTATAATTAAATAGTAATTTAAAATATAGTTTCAATAATGAGAAATCTTTTAATTATAATATAATTATTTGAGACATATTTCTAAGGATAGAATTGAAAGATTAGTGAGGATAATATCTTGATAAATTTATATTTTATTAATTTTAATATTTACATATATTGTATTAAGGTACAGTAAGCAAAGCATATAAAGAAAAACATCACAATAAGTAAAAAAATCCTTAAGATTATTCATATTGATATCTACGAATCACTTCATATTCTTTATTATAGCATAGAGAGATATTTCATTATATTTGTATATGACCTGTGAAGATATAATTGTATGTCTAATATATGAAAAGTCTAAAACTAATTATACTCTTAAGGTGTATCTAGATGAAGTTGAGAGATAATTAGATAAAAAATTAAAATTGTTATATCTAACATTGGGTGATGAATTCTGTGATAGACATGATATAATCAAAATCTTGATTTTTTTATTATATTCATATAAAAATAAGATATTTGTGCTCAATATGTCTTATGAGGTGTTTCAAAATAAATTGATATTATTGAAAGATAAAATAGTTTGTTTATAGATATAATTATGAGTATGATGAATTATTTTACTATACGTGAATCGATGTGGGGTGAAGCATACGAGAATAAAATCTAATAATATAGTATTCTTAAAAATAATAAAATAAATGAGAATAAAAAATCTTGAAAGATAAATTTTAATATAAAAGAGATATAAGTTGATGATCATTTATTATTTTCCATTAAGAGATTGTTGTTATTTAAATTATTAAAAAATTAATTAGGGTAAATAGTAAAATAATATTGATAAATTCTCATGTGATATTAATGTCACATTTAATGATCTTATAGAATAAAGAAGTTTTAAACGAATCTCAAAAGGAAAGATAACTTATTATTTATGATAATTATGTGGTATATTATTATGACACAGGAATCAAATGATCCTTTATTGTTTTTATAAATTATAAAAAGTAGTGATTTAAAAAATAAAATGATGCAATAAAAGAAAAGTTAAAATCAATATATCATAAAACTTTTTATGAACTCATTGAATTATCCAATAATTATAAAAGAGTTGATTGTAAAACGTGACTCAATGGGTAATATCGAGTAATATAAAAGTAGACTTGAATTGTCTACTTTAAAATTATAAAGCAATATGCATCAGAAGTTGAATTTATAAAATATTTTGATATAACAAATCAAACTTTATGACTATGAAATATTATCTTAGAACTTGGTGTAGTCAACTTAATTGCTAGGCTGCTAAAGATATTTTATGATAGCATCATAGTAGTTTTTTTCACTAAGAATGATAAGTATTTTAGTGGTTCTAAGCAAATCGAGATAAAGTACTTGATGGTTAGAAAAAGAGTCTAAAAAAACAAGTATCAATAATAAGGGACTTAAGCACCACCTTGATGATTGTCGATCCATTTATCAAAGCTTTACAGTCTAAAATATTTAATGAATATATTATAGGTATTGTGAGGAAACCATAAAAGATATAGTGATGTATGTTTAGATGAATACTATCATTGATATTTTTATTTAATTAAAATGATTTATTTATGCTATTTTCTTTACATTTATGTTTTTATATATTATAGTTAAATATGATAATAAAATTATCTCGATAAAATAAATTAAAAGGATATTATGGACTACATAAAAAAAGATTAACATATGTTATGATATATAGTCGAACTTATTATTATACTTATTGGATTTATTGATCTATTTTAAAATTCATAGGCATATATAAAATATTTTTTATATTTTAAAATCAAATTAGATAAAAATATTTTTTAAATAAAATTTTATCTTATTTTATTTTAATTTTTAATTTTTTTAAATCTTACCAATTAATGAATCAAGTGGAATAATATTAGATTATATGACCCTGTCTAATTTTGATTTCAGTCTCTTAGGAGATGACCTTGGAGGAACTCTCCTAATTATTATCTTAGACTCTTTATTCATGTTTATAAAATGATAGGATCTCCTAGAGATAAAGCAATATTATTGGGATTATAAATATATTCTCAATCTATCTTAGTTTTTATTTGATCGCTCATAGTTGTCCTATTGTTATAACCTTCGGATTTGATATTGTTATAAATCAATATTGTTATAACCTTCGGATTTGATAATAGTGCATATGTAGATCAAATTTTTTTTTAAATAACATAAAAACATATGCATCATAAATTAAATATATTATTATTTAATTTTAATTTTTGATATTAAATTTTTATATAATAATATAAATTATATTTTTTTATGCTTACACATAAGTATTAAAAAAAAAAAAACAGTTGTACATGAAAGTATGTAATTTCATGCTTTCATGCTCGTGTAGCAGACATGTAATTTATCGACGGGTGTGTCGATTTGTATCGTTTATATACGAAAAATCAAACGCTTGACACATGTGAGCGTGTCAATACTGTCACCACGAATTGCCGACCTAAATAGCTTCGTCATGCATACGGATAAAATATCGTGGAGTCGTTGAGACAACACGTCTATCCATGGCATGTGTTCCGGACATGGGATGTCACACTCAACTTCAAAGCGTGAAGGGCGAGTGGATGAAGCCCTGATCTTCTCGAAGACATGGCGGAAGAGGAATGTAGTGACCGTATCACCTTGGAAATGTCACAGACATCGAGTCGCAGATGGAACGTCGAGCGAACAGACGAAAATATCTGTAGGTGCGGTGTTGAAGCGTGGCACAATGTTGGCCGCGATATGATAGAGCAACTATGAACATGACGGAACGGACTCTGTTGACCCGCCACCGCCTCATGGTTGCACCCCGACACATTCCCACCCAAGCCTTTCAACCATCACCGCCCAGTTTACACACCACCGGTGCCGGCTTACGAGCCCCCGTCCTGGCACAGTGTGATAACAACTGTTCTTAGGATCTATCTGAAGTTTTTGTAGAGAGTCGTTCCTCTTCTACTGCTATGCGTGTACTATATGGGGGATAGCAGGCTGCTCCTGCTCATCTGGATTGTCGTTGTTCATCAATTTGAATAATTGAAGTACCACTAGGCTTTATGCTTGTACTTCTGCTGATGTTAACGATGCATACAGCATCGTATATAATTTGAGGGATGTCTCGTACAAGAATTTATGGCAGCTGTGCTCCGTTCTTTCTCTTTTCGTCACAACTCACCAGCGTGCGCTTGAGCATAGTTAGTGCGAAGAAGAAGAGGAGCGGTCCCCGTTTGTGCTCCTACGGAAAGAAGAGGAGGCGAGGCACAAAGGTATTGCGTTATGTAACCAAGTCAAGCTACGTAGTTTTCTCGAGTGTTCACGTTGCACCATAAAAGAGAATCACTGCACGAATTTGCACATCCTCAGTAAAATGCTTTGCTTCAGCTTGTTAGATCCGTGATTGACATGCCTTCTACGTAGAAAGGTTGTGCAATACGACACGATGCTGTGTTGGTTTAGATAATCGATGGTAATATCTCAATAAGTTCGACTCGATCCCGGGGTGACTCGAGTGCCTGCCTAATAGTTGACCGATAAGAGGATAAGAACCAAGTGGGATGCGCGATTATATTAACTTTTATAGTAGATCGAGTCTAAAAAATATTTTATTTCAAGTAAGATGTTAGTGTTGGACTTTAGTAATCATTATATCTTCCGATCTAATCATGTTATTTGACCTCATATTTTATATTTATTCCAGTGATCGGTTTGCCACTTTTCTATTTGGAGAATGTGATTCGGTGCTCCATCAAGCACAAGAAAAATGTTCTTCCATCTCTGCAACAATCGGCATATTTAATTTGCTCCTCTGTTCTTCTGTGGATGTTTTTAGAATATTGGTGACTTCTTTTTATTCTTTCTTTCCTTTTCCTTATCCATTTTTTTACTTGGTGGAGGCGGAAGTCATAATTAAATTAGTCTTTTTAACTCAATATTAACTAATATTTATTTGGGTGATTGGCCTCACTGTTACTTTATATTTGGTGTTAATATATTATTTTTTAATTGCACAAACAAGTAAAAGGGAAATATTGACGTGTGTTTCTTTCACATATTCGATATTTTTAACTCAAATAAACCCTTGACACACCAACTGTTATAATGTTCCCTGTCAAGATAGTATATCCGCATGCCGTAGTCTGCGCGTATACATTTTTGAATGCTCGGATTAGCTTTTCCCCTAACGCTACCAAAAACATGTTTTGTATCAGACCCGATCGGTGAATTAATGCGTCACCGTCACGCAACACGGCATCACCGATCTTTGATCTCCTCGAGGATACGCAGCTTTAAAAGCTTTATTTTAGAGACGTCGCAATCAAAAATACAAATTACAGTAAAAAGGATCATTAATCTTTAGAATTTTCTTTTGGTGAAAAAAACCTTCTCCCCTCAATAGCCCCAAAAACACAACAGATGAAGCCCGTAAATGATCAATAGCAACCGTGGTGGAAAATCTTATCGTACAAATGCAATCGGAATTGTCAACTGGGAAAATAATAATAGTTCAGATTGAAATTTCTTCCCGTGTCGAGTTTCAGTACAACACAACAGAATTGGGTTTAGTGTGTCTCCGCTTTATTTCGTAGTGTGAAATCTTAAGGTAAGACTAATAAGGTAATGCCACTAAAAAAATGCAAGATATTAATCGAAATACAAGAATAATTAATTAATTAATTAATATACAAGAAGTTAAAATCACACACGGCTCGTGCGTAACAGCTTGCAGACTACCAATACTAAATCATAATTATATCAGGAAGAGAACCACCGCCGTGGCAGAAATCGATCGGTGATAAGAGGGTGAAGCATCGGCAAGAGACTCGAGAATCACCGATGCGCCGTTACCAGCGTCTCGATGAACCTGAGCCCGTCGAATCTCGGCGCGAACTTGTCTTCCGCGTCCCTCCTTGATCCTGATCCGGCAGCGTCCTGCTTCCTCGACGATCCCAATCCCTATGGAGCCATCCATCACCAACCAATCAATCATTCATTTCACTTCCCTGTTGACGATCATGCGATAAGGGCTAGGGATTCATACCTCTTTAGAGGAGGAGGAGGTGGAGGTGGAGGAGGAGGGGTTGGTGGTGGAGAGAGCAGCGGAAGAGACGGCCGCGAGGGAGGCGGCGAAGACCCCAGCCTTCTTCATCTCCACGCCGAGATCAGGAATCGAGATCTCCCGCTCCGTCGACGAAGAACTTTTTGTGGCGTCGTCCTTCCCCTTCCTCTCCCTCCTGCTTTATACGGCCTCCTGCCCGAGTGAATATCCCCGCGCCGTCGTCCGTGACCAGGGAAATAAATCGAATCGAACTGTGCGTTCGGTTCCGGCGCGCCCAGCCGAGGGCGCCGTCAACGCATACCTCGGTCACCGGGGCCAATGAGACGGCGCCGCGTGTGTGGAGGACCTGTTCTGCTTGGGTTCGACGCCGTTGGAAGGAACCCGTCGCTTTTGGCAAATAGAAATCCCACTACGTTTAAAATCATTATTCATCATAGCCGTCGCTTTTTAAACGTCGAGGACGCGCGTGGTCACCGTGCAAGAAGATGGTTGTGGGGCCCGTCAGGAATCTAGATTCTTCTGAGTCGAGCCGTCTCCACCATAAGTTTTCTTCCTTCGGTTTTTTTTTTTTTCCGATTTATTACTTAATTATGAGATAAATAGAAACGTGAGGTGTTGAGTGTCGGCTTCTTCGTCGCTTCCTTGTGCTTCTGCTCGATTTGTACGAGCCCAGACGCATTCGACCGAGTCGTTATGGATTCGGGTCCAATAAGAGCTTTCATATCCAATAATCCTCGATCATCGACACCGACACACCGACTCGATCCAACCGGTCTTCCATTCTACAAAACGTTTCGACTCGATTAAATCATGGGAAAGCATTCGACTTGTGGAATAGCTCTGTCATCCTCTCATCTGTTACACGTGGAATGGTTTGTAATGCACGCATTCCATATTAGAGGTGATGAGATGTACCCTCATCCCCAGGACCACCCACCACCTGTTTGCTTCATTGTGTGTGCGGCAAGGACTCGAAACATTCTTTTCACTTGTCGGTGATTCTTTGTTAGGGGGTGCTCATCATCTTCGAGCTCCACCATTGTGTGATCGGACTCGTTCACTGTTTCAGAGTGAGTCCAAAAGAAGGAGGACAGCATGCTGAAATGAGGAACCTGCGTCTCTTTTAGCTCCAGAACATTTCAAGTCCAAATGTGACAAGGCCACCATGACCTTCCCACCTACATCGTTGGTGCTTGTTGGTAGCTGAATCTGACATCCAACGCCAGCAGCTTGACTTGCTTCCAAAGGTTAGCCACGAGCGTGTGTCTCCGGAGAGACCTCCGCCATGAAAAAGCTCGACTGTGGAGCTAATTCTGTCATTTTCCTCCCTGTGTTGTTCCAAAAGCAAGCAAATTGTTGAATCATACGGAAAGAAAGACCATACATAATCCAAAACATAGTTTTGGGGAGCTAATCTCATTCGGTGTTCCACTAAAGCATTAACAATTGGATATTCCACGCAAATTGGTCTGCTAGATGTTACATTCCTCGGCCTCGATGCATAAAGTCGAGCTGTTCCGTGGTAATAACCACAATCGTGTTTTCCCCACAAAAACGTACTAAAATATCCACGAACACGTCACGCATGACGTTGAATACGTCACATCTCGAGTGGCGCCTTCATCGAGCCAACACATGTCCCAACAAGCGCGTGCCGATCCGCGTCGCGGCACGATCAAACATCACTACAGCAGGGAGCGGCGTCCGCGAGCTGTCGTCCGGGACAGATGGACATTTACGTTTCATTTGCTCGCACAAGGCACTGCGACAATTTGGAGATAACGATTGGGATTGAGCCAAATTAGCCAGACATTTGTATGGTGATTGATAACTATGAAACCCAAAAGCTCCCATCGTGTAGCGTGTGGAGCAGCATCGAAATAAATAGTTTGATTTTTATTGTATGTGACTAAAAATTTAACCTTTCTCTCGCTTATTCCTACCATTACGCTGATGCCTATAGACACTGGTTAGTAATAATTATAAAATTAAATATTGATTTGATGATGATGAATTAATTTTATCAAATATTATAATTTTCAAACTTTAGATCATATATTTTTAAAACTTAAAATATTATTTTTGATGATGACGTACGAGATCTATTAATCAAAAATTAAAATTTTGAATGATCCTCAAAATTGGCTTTCACCGTTTACTATTATAAAAAAAATTATATTTTCTATCGGTTAAAGAGTTTGTACGCCTCTTTATTAGCTCAACTAACCGCTCCGACCATTATAAATCTTATTTATTAATGCGGAAGTCAAACTTCTGAGATGAGCTACTTCTCTATCTTGTGAGGAGAGAGAACATATGTACTGTTGGTTCATCTAAGCAACATTTTTGTTAGGGAAGATGAGGAATATAGCATGTAAATTAGTCTAACTATTTAAGTACTTAAATTCGTTTCGTATTTATATCAAGTACTATTTTTTATACAAATATTCACCTGATTAACGATATTAATCTAAATTAAGTAGGTTAGGTAGGCATGAATATAAAAAAAAAAAGACAAATTGCTAGTTAGAATCGGCAATAGGTAGAATATTTTATGAATTTTACCTTGTTATTTCGTAAACCAATAAACTACCCAGATATACATATATGTTTGGAAGTTGATTATTATCTTAATCATACCTGAAAGAAGATCAAGTTACTCTTGGTAATAAAAAATTAGCTTCTTAGTCGTTGTGAAGGAGTGTTATCTGTGCTACAACATTGTATCAGTGATGGACATGCAAAGCCATGACCTGCCACAACGAAATGATGAAACCAATAGCACCCATCCCATCTATCCATCACGATTATTATTATCATCGCCATTTATTTCGATATACAATATTATATCCATTAGATTCGTTCGTCGTACAAGCAAAATAGTCGGTCGGGTTTACTGGCGTACATAAGCCGTACCCGTATACGTATAACAGCCACGTCACCGTGTAAACCAGCTTTCTAAAAGTTACCCTAACCATACCACATTCCTCGTCTTCTAATCATGGTGAGGTGAAAAAAGAGCCGTTGCACTGTGTCCTCCACACTTATTGCCGGCCTCTACTGCCTCCATAATTGCCCGCACAACGAGGAGCCCCTTCCTTCTGTTGGAAGTTATCGTCACTCCCCCGCCCATCGACACCGACCACCACGCATTAGTTTATCATCCCGACGCCCAACCCATTCCCTGGCGATCCGATCTGCCTCTTCATCTTCATCGGCTTCACTGGTTCCGATGCCTCAGAGTTCATCCCGCTGGTGACGATTAGCTATCAACTAGTTGTACTGCTGGGAAGCCGTGGATCCAACGAGGACGAGGAGGGGCGCGTGGGTCCCCCCCCCCCCGGTGTCCGCGTTGCGTTTCTGGCACTAGTTTACGGAGCTTCGTCTTTTGACCATCCCCGTACGCTCTCCGCGTCGGGTTTCCTCCTCGGGAGAGAACGAGTCCATCCCCTGCTTTGTTTAACCGCTGCTGCAAGACGAAGAGCACATCTCAAGAAACTAAAGCAAGAAGAAGGAGAGAAGAAATTTCTTATGATGATACTGGTGTTGATGCGCTGGTGTCGGTGACTCTCTGCGTCTTGTTCACGTGCGATTTATGATTTCATCGACACTTTCCAGTATAACCCAGAGGGGGTGAAAAGTCTGCCCTTCGTACGTATGGCCATGTGATGGGTGAGCCCGACGCAGAAGAAACATTGAAGTAGAAGAGAGATGGGGAGCCAGCTACTGATCGAATACAAAGATTAAACGCTATGTTGGAACCATGGAGCATTCAAGCCGCCCATTAACGTCACGTGCGGATGCTAAGTGACGGTCTGACGAGGGAGCGGACACTCGGTACCACGATTGGATCCGCTTTGAATAGGATCTACCACACTTCGCCCAGCACACACGACAACTTCCATTCGTTCTGCATGAGCCGCTACGAGCAACCTTGTCCCGTGAACTGCACACGGATACATACCATCGGGAATCGCCCGATAGCGATCGGACGATCCATCGTGATGAGACGTTACTGTCGGACCGAGCCAGCGGTTGGCCTCGTGTTGATCTCTCGCTGTCCGACAGAGACAGCGGATGCGCCTGCTTCCACCCGTCTCACCGCTCTGCACCATCGGATCGTACGACGCCGGTCAACGCACCGTCGAGTCCTCCGCCTCCGCTGATACCGACGCTCGCGATAATAAAAGTAAAGATAGAAGAAAGAATATGTACAAAAAGACGTAGCAACCAGATCATCCGTCGGCGGATTCCTCTCCAATCACCACCGTTCAATCCGTAACTCTCGACTCTCTTACCTTTTATTCATGCTTATTCTGCAATGGAAGTCTGCCGGTAACTGGTAGGAATGTTTTCCTCATCTTCTACAGCAGTCAGTACGAGCTTTTAATTTACAGATAGAATAAGTAACGCACCGAAACACCAACGCCGCCTGACGGAGACGTGGCGCGGCTCGGAAGGCAGCGATGATACGCACAGCTCAACTTGCCTTTGGGAAGGGCTTTCATCAGCCAATAGTAATCGTCCTTTTAATTCTTTTTCCAAGGTAAAGGCGGGTGAGGTGTGAAAAGTCGATAATAAAATATAATAAATATGTTGCCATCGGTTTACTACGCGTAAATATGTTGCCATCTTCATGTACCTGCGTTACGATTGACCAGGGAATGTGAGGCCCGGTGGAGCCCGCGGGAAGGTAAAGAAAGTCGCATCTTCGGGGTGCCTTTCGGGCAACAGCGTCTTGCTTTTTAAGTGGGCAACCTAACGCCAATATTTTCACCTCACTTTGTTCTCTCCATTTCTCCTGCCCCTCTCTTCTCTCCTCTCTCCCCCCCCGCTCTCTCTCTCTCTTCAGCTGTCTGCTGTCGTTGTAGGAGCCCGAAGCGTCAGCGACATGATAGCTCAGAGAGCAAGAGAGAGGAGTAGGGTGGCGGAGCAGGGAAGGGAGTAACTACCTCGATCCTCTCTTCTCGCACCTTCCTCGTTCTCTTCTCTTCCCTCTCTATTTGCCTCTTTCTCGTCCTATGTCGAAACAGAGTATAAAAAGAAGGATCGATAGGAACCAAGAACAATTGCTTTATTTCGTTCCTTTTCCTTTCGTTTCTTTGGACCAAAACCACTTGCTTCGCCGGATCTGATCCCAGAATTCGCATCCCGCTGCCAGCATTCCATCTGGTAAGCCTTATTCATGTCTGCATTTTCTCTGCCAATATAATCATGGCTTTTCCAGCTGCCGTTGTGCCTTCTGCGAAGCTCTTGTGCTTGGTTTTGGCTCATAATTTGCTTGATGGTCCTGATTTGCAATTGTGTTCTTCTCGATTGTCGATTCACTGGCGTTGGATGATGACAAACTCATCCTTCTTGTTTCTCATGAGATGCTTTCTGATAAAACGAATTCCCTTCAGATTTCTAACCAATATATGCACAATGCCTGGATCTGATAGTCTCAATGTAGTTCGCGTCGATTCTTGATCTGCCCTCGTAGTTTTTTGCTCGTCTACCGAGTTCTCCTTTTTCGCTGTCCTTTTGGTCTTTCTTCCGATCAAAGGCGTTAAATTTGTATGGTTGAATGCTGAAACTTATCTGTACTCCTACACTGCAAAAGGATAGCTGATAGGTCATTGCTTCAGGTGGGATGTCGATATTGGCAAAAATTAAGCGGCATAATGAATTGGCCTTCTTTAGCTAATGCTTAGTGTCTTTTCGAAGCAAGCTTGCTTCTACCAGGTGGTACATATCAGATTAGACTGGGCAGGGCATGGTTTCTGCTCTTCGGTTCCAGTCTGGATTCACTAGTTGTATATGTGAGACATTGGAACCTCCTACCCCACCTATCTTTAAACAATTTCAACAACATTTGGGCCAGGTCTGCTCTGAATGCTTCTTTAGTGGCCTCCTTAACTTCACGTTTAATTTCCATCTCCTAACTCGTGTTCCTCCTGGCATCAAGGACTAACTCGCCCCAGTGCATTAAATTCTTGGCCTGTTTGTGCACGATGCACCACCACTCTCTTGGTTCTTGCTTGCGGTTTGTGGATTTGAAGGCTCTGAAACAATGATGGTTTTCGTTATTAGCTTGGGACTTAAATTGGACTAGGACAAGAATTCTACTGAACAGTGCATCTGATGTATGACGACTTCTCAGGTTTAAGAATCAATTTTACAGTGTCCAAGAATCTCTTTCTCTCATAAATATTGTTGCCAAAATTATGCGTTCTTTAACCGTTACAAGATAATTAGATGTTTGATAATTTGACCTTCTGGTCGTGGTTTAAAATCCATTCTTACTGTTGTTGCAGCATTGATCTGTTCCATCTGTTATATTTCTACAATTCCTGTGTTGAATCTGTTCCATATTCTATTTGGTACAAGCTATGCACATCTTGTCCAATGGGTGTTGAAACAGTCATACTTACACGAAGATTTTTCTTGCCTTTTCCTGTAAACAGGTCACTGCGCTCACAGAATCAGTGAATTCTGCTAATTGGCTTCTGCAAAGGTCAGCACCGTGATCATTGTCATTGACCATTTGACAGTGAAATTTTTATTTATAACTTCTCTGCCTTGTTTTTTCCTCTATATTAGTTTATCTAATTGGTTGATGATGTTCTTTGTCTCCTTGTAGTTATAATGACCAAGAATCAACAACTACACCATTCATTAACTAGATCTCTTAAAAAATATATTGTACATAAAAGGCTATATTAGCTATTATTGTATTGTGAAGATCAAAGCTGTGCCTACTGATTTTCTTGATTCTATGTTACTCATGAAGATTATTTGTTTGAATTAGATGCAAGGTTCTATTATCCCCTAACATTCATGACTAGTAATAATCATTCAACAAAATTGTGCATAGACTAGCCAAATACTATTACTCTTTGGATGCACCAGCTCAGTGCTGTGAAGCAAGATATTAGTGGACTTTGATAACACAACTGAGATCTTTGAACAACACATTTTTGTAGACTATGCCGAAACACAGATAACTTATGGCCAGAACACTGTTGCAGGTTACTTTTCCATTTTTATTGTTGTCAAAGTTAAAATATAGTAACTGAAGCACCATTTTATAGTTTCATTTTCTACTTGCATTTGGTTATAACTGAGATATTTTGATAAATCCTCTTCTGGAAGTTAATTTGTGATGGCCTTTATTCTTCTCTTAGTAATTCTATTTTTTTTGTTTGCCATATTAAAAAACATGCTGCTCTTTTGTCATCAATTCCTATGTCAATGTGCTCATTAGTCTCTGTTATCATTTTCTTCTAATTCATTTTCTGAAGAATGACTCAACAGCATAGCTTATAGGATATTTGATTGATGATGGATCGGCGAAGTTGGCCTTGGAAGAAAAAATCATCTGATAAGACAGTGATTACAACTGACTCATCCACTTCCACTTTGTCTAATTCTGGTGGAAATCAAGCAGACCAGGTTTGTTCTTTGTTGTGCTTTTCTGATATTGACTGAAATCAAAACATGTCTATATATTCATGATGGACAACACATTTTTTACATTGTTAATTGGTTGATATCAGTAAATGAATTTCAGAAATGGGTCATGCAAAGATGATAAATTTGTTTCATCTTTTTGATTTTTACAAATTTGATATTTGATCTTGAAATTAAACATAACACTAATTGTGATTCCTTCTAGCAAAGTACCACTTGTAATTTTAAGATGGATTTAGTTTATAGTGTCATAAACAGTACAAGTGCAAAAAAATGTTAAGAAAGCTTATTATGACCTTTTTATGTAAAATTCTGCAACAACCCTCGTGTGAAGGTAACTTCTCTGATTCAATATTGAAATCATGGATATTTATAAGAAAATAATAGTTGGATTTTGTAGGTCAACTCAGTGGTTGAGCTAACCATGTTTTGCACTGATATCATTCCAGGATAATTAGCCATCTGTTTTCATTACCATAATAACAACAATTAAAAACTATCAACTAAACAAGATTACAAGATTTAGCTGACAGACTCAATCTTCTGGCACTAGTAGTAAGGTCTCATCTACGCTAGCAGGTGATATTTAATAATACCGCCTTATTTATTGTGACATTTTGTTATCCAGTCTTGAAGTTGAATGACCGTTTTTCACTTTGAGATTTCAATGTGAAAATCATATAATTTCTTTCCATCCTTAGAATTCTCATTACTTCCAAACTAATGAGGGCCTTTTCGTTTTGGAATTTATTCTCTTCTCTCTTGAACAACCCCACAAAGATATATTTTGGTGGTTATCATTATTTCTTCTACCTTCCTATATATTGTGATCCAGGATATCTTTATCACTTTCCTGGTTTTCTCTCCCCTTGATGTGGTTCACATGTTTGCTCACTTGAGTCACTTTTCTATCTTTGCAGGATGTTAACAGCACTGTCAAATATGTACAAATTTCTGCAGAGTCATATGCCCACCTGACTGAATTGGAAGACCAAGTGAAGATCTTGCAAGAAAAATTATCTACAGCACAAACTGAGATGACAACCAAGGATAATCTAGTCAAGCAACATGCTAAGGTTGCTGAAGAAGCAGTCTCAGGTACTAAGGTGTACAGTTACTATGTTTATAAAATGGTTCCCGTGGCTGCATATGCAGACATTACAGGCATTTATGCTGTTGTGGCTTTGGGGACCTGTTCATGAAAACTCAGTAGCCTCATAATGGGTTATATTTGCATATGCCAAAGAACATGGTGCATATGCAGCTGCTTATGTGGTCAATACATTGTCATGTATTTCCCATCTTCCTCACCTGTATCTTTTGCTATTCATGTCTATAATCTTATAATCCATATACTATTCAATATTCATTCTTATAATCCATAATTAATTTTTCTTAATGGTTCAAAGCGGACTGCCCAAAATGTAGGCATTCCATGCACCATTTTATGTTCCGACTAGTACATATGTCTCATTTCTTACTGGTCCAGGTAAACGGGTAGCCTTGCATTTTTCTATATGGCTTCTATCATTAAATCTGTGTATTCTTTTTGGCTTGTCATTTAAAGGTTAATGCATGACTATTGTTCATCTTATCCTATATATATAAACTCATTTAATACTTAATTTTCAAAGTTACTTCGTTGGAAAAATACATTTTTTCGATGAACTACATATATGATCAGAATTATCAGATGTACCTGCATCTGTACATATGCTCTGAATGCAGTGCCTTGATTTGTGCATAATGCATCTCCATTTTGAAAGAGTTACTGGTGTTATGCTCATTGATCTGGTTATGGGTTCTTAAACAATTACAGGATTCTCATAGTTTTAGTTGATTGCACTGATTGTGCTATAAGGTTGTTGGTTGAATATTGATGATTATGAACATTCTTATTTTTTCTTTACAATTTTCTTTGAAGAATTAATGATTACAAAGAACATTTACTTTTGATTATTTTAGGTTGGGAAAAAGCTGAAGCTGAATCATCTGCACTGAAACATCAACTTGAATCTGTCACACTGTTAAAGCTTACAGCTGAAGAACGGGCATCTCATCTTGATGGTGCCCTGAAGGAGTGCATGAAGCAGATAAGAAATGTGAAAGAAGAAAGTGAGCAAAAATTACACGATGTAGTCTTCGCCAAAACTAAGCAATGGGAAAAGCTCAAAGCAGAGCTAGAGGCAAAACTAGATTATTTTGAGCAGGAACTGCTTAGAGCTTCTGCTGAAAATTCAGCTCTTTCAAGATCTCTTCAAGAACGTTCAGATATTCTGATGAAAATTACTGATGAGAAGATGCAAGCTGATTGTGAGATCGAAGTGCTAAATAACAATATTCTGTCATGTGAAAAAGAAATTAATTCAATGCAATATGAGCTACATGTTATTTCTAAGGAGCTTGAAATTCGGAGTGAAGAGAAAAATATGAGCATAAAATCTGCTGATGCAGCGAACAGACAGCATTTGGAGGATGTAAAGAAAATGTCAAAACTAGAAGCTGAATGCCAAAGATTGCGTGGTCTTGTTAGGAAAAAGCTGCCTGGGCCTGCTGCATTAGCACAAATGAAACTAGAAGTTGAAAATTTAGGCCGTGATCATGGGGAGACTAGATTACGACGATCACCTGCCAAGAATCCTAGCCCTCCTTACATTTCAACACCTGCTGCTGATTTTGCCTCTGAAAGCATCCACACTATGCACAAGGAGAATGAGTTTCTTACAGCACGTTTATTAACAATTGAGGAAGAAACAAAGATGTTAAAAGAGGCTTTGTCAAAACGTAACAGTGAGTTACAGGCTTCGAGAAACATGTATGCTAAAACTGCAAGCAAGCTTCGAAGTGTTGAAGCACAGATGCTGACCCTGAACCAACAGAAGATATCATCAAATCCAACTTTTGACATCTCATCTGATACCAATTTAAGCCAAAACGAAAGCAACCCACCAAGCTTGACATCCATGTCTGAAGATGGAATTGACGAGGCAGAGAGTTATTCTGAATCATGGTCTGCAGCATTAATGTTGGAACTCTCGCAATTCAGAAAAGAAAAGGACACCGTGAAGCACAAGAATACAGTCAATTCAAAAAATTTGGAACTTATGGATGATTTTCTGGAGATGGAGAGGTTAGCTTGTATGTCAACAGAGTCCAATGGAACAATTACCATTCCTGGAGGTGTGCTTGATAAGATGAAAACTGAAAATGCTGGTGGCATGTTACTAGCTGATATTCTGGATAGTACTAGTAAAGGACAGCAGTTTACATCAGAGAAGGCAGAAACTCTGCCTTGTGCCAATAAAAAACATTCTGAAGGAGAACTTGCGATGAGTAAACTCAGTTCTCTGTTGAGAAAACTTCAGACAAGAATAGTTTCTACTTTTAAGTTGCTGGATCAGGAAGTTGATATTGGTAGAGTTTTGGAGGATATAAGACGCATCCTGCAGGAAACACAAGAAGAGTTGCCTCAGAATTCTGTAAGCTGCATCATTAAAGAAAATTATTCTATAGATGCTCCTTGTCAACAAAAAGCTTGTGATGATGACACGGACAAAGCTACTAATATTGGCTTTTCTTTTAAGCACGACAAAGTTTCATATGCTGATGATAAGCATGAATTAGGTCTACAGTTGAGGAATGCGATATCTGAGGTTCAAGATTTTGTTATTTCTATAGGTAAGGAATCCTTAGGACCACAAGATAGGCAATCTGATGTTCAAGGACTAAATGAGAAAATCCAGCAGTTCTCTTCTTATGTTGAAGATATACTGTATAATGGGAAAAGCTTGAATGATTTTATACCTATTTTATCCCATATATTGTCTGAAGCCGGTAAGATGGGCTTTAAGATGACCTTTAATATTGGCAAAGAATGGGATAACAATATCTCAGATTGCATAGACAAGGTAACATTACTTGAAAACAGAGTGGCTCATCAGGATCCAAGAAATGAGACATTTTCTGGAAGGTCTATGGCTTTATCTCAGTCTTCCTCTCATCCAGATATTGAAGGGCCTACCAGCGACAGCTTTGAACAAAGGAACACAATGCATAAATTATCTGTGAAGGATTTTGAAGAGATGAGGTTGGAGAAAGAAAACATGCAATTAGAATTGTCTACTTGCAGCAAATTGTTGGAAGAGACAAAACTTCAGCTAGTTGAAACTGAACAAAATTTGGCAGATCTTAGATCCCAGTTGGCTGCTAGCCAAAAATCAAACAGCTTGTCTGAAACACAATTGAAGTGTATGGCTGAGTCCTATAAGTTACTGGAATCACGAGCACAGCAATTAGATGCTGAAATAAACCTGCTGCGTACAGAAGTACAAACATTGAAAAATGAGCTTCTGGAAGAAAGGCAAATTCATCAGGATGATTTGACCAAATTAAGAGATCTTCAAGAGCAGTTTGAGAGGTTAGCTATAGTATATGGTCTTTGCTAAATATCATAATTTAGAATAGGCTGGTTGCATGTTGGAGTTGGCATTTGTTTAGTAGGTGTCATATATGTATGTATGTATGTGTATATATATTCACACATATATATGGATACATATGTTAGCTCTGTTTCCTGATATCTTTTTCTTTTGCTTTTGTAAATGAAGGAATGAAAAGTCCAAAATGTGCTCAGACGCTGACATTGATACCGAGGCAAAACAGGTAATGTGCATTCCTTGATCGCATTGTGTACTTTTTTTTTTGTGTCTATACTTTTTGATTTTTTTTTTCTCTAGATTGTTGAGAATGACCACATGGATTTAATTCTTAATCCAATACTGGCTTTGAATGATGAAAACAAAAATTGAAATGAATGATATTGATGTAGTATTGAACTATATGTATGGATATTGGAATTTGGTGTGATGGGTAAATCCTAGTCCGTCTTAACCTGTACAATTGAATTTTGAAACCTTAATTAAGTACTGAAAAGGATCAAGGTCATTCTTAAAAATCAATTTATCACAGTTCAGTGGAACCTAGGTTACAGAAGTTACTGGTATCTGTTATACTCATCATATAAACTTTGCTAACGAAATTTACTTCGCAATCAAACTTTTCAAAACTGTCTCATGTATCTCTGCCTTAATGATTTTTAGAAAGGCAGCTGCATCATTGCTTATTTGTTACTTTAGTTGTCATCTAAGATCTATAAATAGTTCAAATCTGTGTTGCATGAACAAGCCGATACATTGGACAACAGCGAATAAACACCCTTCACAGGGTTGTGTGAAATGTGAATATTTGTGAAGGATGCTTGATTTAGTTGACTTATTCATATTCATGAATAGGATATTTATCACTATTCTTTGTTGATAATTATTTGTTGAATATTTAGGTTTTCAATGATAGAATAATAAGCAATATATGTTGGAAGATCATAAATGCAACCCCTTATAATGACAAATAATTATGTTGTTACGTGTTCCAATAAGGTGTTTTCTGGCTACATATGCATTAAATTCATTGTTTGAACCTTGTGCTGAGAGCAGCATTGTGTGATATCTGGGACAACTAAAATGTTCATTGTTCTTTTTTGAGTTTGAAGACACGGTAAATTATAATCTAACCAAACACGTGCTTTCTGTAGGTCCTACAAGTTGAACTTGCCTACTCTTTGTTCCTTTATCATAGTATTTTGTTCTTTCTGTAGGTCCTACAAGTTGAATTTGCCTACTCTTTGTTCCTTTATCATAGTATTTTGTCTTTTCTTCATTTTTAGCTATCTAGACATCAATATTGTACAAATTGTTTCTTGTCAAACATGATCATTGAAATTTGATTCTAAATAATTGTACTTGGTTCAGTGGGTTGGCAGTAGAATTGTTGGAAACACATTGGACTTAACTAGTTTTTGTTACATGTTAAATAAAATGAAATAATTGCATTAATCGTAGATTCAGATGGTGATGAACTTCTAGTTCTTCTATTTAACTTTAAGAACCATCATATGTCCTGTGACAGGAGAAAGAGATAGCAGCAGCTGCAGAGAAGCTTGCAGAGTGTCAGGAGACCATACTTCTGCTTGGCAGGCAATTGCAAGCCTTTCGTCCATCAGCAGAACAATCAGATACCTTTCCAAATAGTAGACATCTCATGAACTTCAGCTATTTGGAAGATGTGCTAGACGCTAGTGATTTTAGCGCCCAAAACATGTATAAGGCAAGGCATTCAGTGTCTGAAACAGAAAGTGCAGCTGCTTTTATCACACCAAGAGCTGGTGGCGAATCCCCCTTGGATGGATACAACTCTCAGATTAGCCCATCTGATGCCGAAGCAAGTTCTTTTCCCAAATCACCTATCAACTCAAAGCACCAGAAGCATAGGCCTTCCCGGTCATCCTCTTCTACTTTTCCTAATGCTTTGACTGAGAAGCATGGACGTGGTTTCAGCAGGTTTTTCTCAAAAGGGAGAAATTGATCATTAGTTAAAGTTTTTAAGATAACTTTTCTCTTGAAGGATATCCTGAAATTTAGCGCGATGGAAAAATGAGTGCATAGTTATCTTCAGACTTCAGAGCCGAGCAGTTGCAGTTTTGAGCCTTAAGTGGGTTGTGCTTGTTTGCGATGGTAATTACTAATTTCTTGCAATCAATGCATGCGCCTTGAAGCTTTTTTTTGCCTTGCAACTTGTTTAGCAATATCCATCTTCTCGATGAAGATCAACAGTTATCATGGCAGTTGTGGGTTTTCCATACACAAATTTCTGTACATTGTCATCGCAAAGTCAACGAATTCCTTTCAAGCAACATAAGCATTGTAACACAGCTGTGATTTTTGAACCTGTTTGATGTACAGTGGACTGGCATAAAATCTGGTTCCTTCAAATGAAAGTTTGGTTTATGAAGTCAATCAGTGTCTTAAATCTAGAGGCCCTTTAGATTTATCAAAGTTTCACTTGTGGATTGTGAAAGTTTTTGACCCTCTCTTCCCCGTCATTCTTGATGTGTGCTTCGATTTGTCAAAACGAATTTGGAAATATTTGGACCCTTTAATACTGTAAGCTTTATTTTTACTGACTTCTAGTTCATATTCAGGGTTTTGTCACGTCTCCCTCTTGGGTAGATAGAGACCGCTTTTAACTAATACTAGAAGAACAAGTGGAATGTGCAGAACAAGAGGTAAGTACATGGTATTCTTTTGCTGGGGATTCATTGTATATTATTTGTATTGTACATTTCGAGGATACAATACTGTTGCCAAGCAGAAAGTAATAATATGCCCAAGATAACAATTAGTAGTTGATGTGGATAATACTAGTGATGCTTGAATCGGTTCTATTCGTGTGCATAAAAGGTCTGATGTGGTTGGAGATTGGCTTGAATGTTTGCTCAGTAACTAAGGGAAATTTGGATGCTTATTCTGCGGCTGAACAATACTAATAGTAGGATGGATATTTCAATGCGATCTCTACTACGTTTAAATGAGCGATGAACAGAAAGAGGATAATTTTAATAAACAATGATGGACTGCAATTATCATGCCCAAATGACCTTTTATAGAAAGTTAATTGAGAAAAATATTTTATGGTACAAAAAAATGGTCACTTGATTTACTATTTTCCAGATATAGGTAAAAAAATGTATGTACTTGGGAAAGTTTTATAAGTGTTCTTAGTTAACTCTTGTTTAATACTATTTTGATTTTTTTGATTGAAATTATTCTTTTTCAGTTGCATCGTAACATTATGTTTTTATCATTTCCTTACTCTTCTATCTCTAACATTTTCGGTATCAGAGTGAGATTTAATCTGAATCGGACATTATGACTTTTAATGATAATTCAATATCTCAACTCTTTATTTTCATCTTTTCGGACAAATGCTATGAATTTTGGAGTATGAAGATGAAGACTTTATTCAAGTCTCAAGACTTAATAAAGAATGGATATGTGGATCCAAACGAAGAAACAAGGCGAAAGGAGAATAGAAAGAAAGACTTAAAGACATTATTCTTTATTCAACAAGATATATGAGATAATCTTATCAAGAATTACAACAGTTATAACCTCAAGATAAGCTTAGTTAATACTTCAAAATGAATTTTAAAACTCATCAAAGGTGATTATGGTAAAACTTCAAACCCTTCATTATGAGTTTAAAAATTTATTCATGAAAAGTAATGAATCGGTACAAGATTTTCTTTTTCGAGTGATTGAAATTGTTAGTCAAATAAAATTTGATGGTAAATATTTTTATAAACATATAATCGTTGTAAAAGTTTCAAGAAGTTTAACTTCAAAATTTTGTTCATGTTATTGTCACAATTGAGGAGTTAAAAGATTTATCTAACTTTTCATTTGATGAACTAATGGGTTATTATAAGCTATGAACCAAGGTTGAACAAATCACTTAAGAAAAATTAAGAAAAAATATTTTAGATTAAGGAGTCTTTTATTTTAAAAGAAGAGACAAAAAAATTAATAGAAAAAGGACATACTAGAGGAGGATTTCGTAGCATCGAAAATGAAAGAGGATACTTTGATGGATATGATGAAAAAAAATTTAAATTATGATAAAAAGAACTATAACATAATTCAATATGACTATTGTAAAAGGTTTGGTTCATATTAATGGAAAAGAGAACGGTAAGTAAATTATAGGAAGGAAATTAAAGAAAGTAGTAAGTTATTTATGATTCATTCACAAGCTAATAATATTTTAAATGATATTTAAATTTTAAATAATAGATGTTGTAATCATATGCCAAATATAAAATCAATATTTAGAGATATTAATGAAACTCATAATTTGAAAGTCAATGGAAGATAAAATACCTTAATAATATTCTTTTTATTCTTAGTTTATCACATAACTTATTAAATATTGGATAATTGATAAATGACGGATATTCAGTTATATTTGATGATAATTGATGCACTATTAAAGATAAAAAAAATATGATTTAATTATGGTAAATATTTGTATGATATAAAATAAGATGTTTCCACTTGATATTTCAAATATTGTAAAATATATTCTTATTACAATTCAAAAGAATATGTTTAATTTGTAGCATTAAGAGTTTATTATTAAATAAAAAAGGAATGGTTTTCAAATTATCCAAAATTAATATAGTTGATGTAGGTGAATATTGCATTTATGACAAATAAAGCAACAAACCATTTCATAAAGAAAAGCATGGAGAGTAAACTAATTATCTTGAATTAATTCATATTGATATATTTGAACATATGAATATAAAATCATTTGTGAAGGTTTATATTTTATATTATTTACTGTTCATCATAGTCTCGTGAGTGAGTTGAGTATATTTTTTAAAACTAAAATATGAAATATTTGATAAGTTTTAAAAATTCAAGACACTTGTACAAAGACAAAGTAATAGATGCATAAAGACACTTCCGACAGATAAAGATGGTAAATTTTTATCTAATATATTTAATTATTTTAATGAATAAAATGGTATTAATTTGTAATTAATAATACTACATATTAGAATAAAATAGTGTAGCTAAATGTAAGAATCGAATTATTATTAAAATGATAAGAAGTTTGCTTAAAAGAAAATATCTTCCAAATCAGTTTTGGATGAAGCAATTGCAACAATAATTTATTTGATAAATATTTTATCAACAAAAGTTATTGTTATTCGAACTCCTTTTAAGACTTAATATGGTATGAAGCTAAGCATAAACTATCTAAGAATTTTTAGTTATATTACTTATGCTTTAATAAATTCGTAAAACCATCATAAGCTTGTTGAAATATATGAATAATACATCCTGATTGATTATCCTTATAATTCAAAGCATATTGATAGTATAATCCTGTTAGTAATAAAGTTATTATTAAAAGGACAAGTTAAATTTGGGAGACCAATGAAGGTGAAAAATAAACTTAGATTATAGTAAAACTAGGCACTTCACATAATCAAGTAATAAATCTTGCTCTAACAAGTTCATCGTCAGATGAAACCCTTCCAAGAAAATTCAAATCACTAATAAAAATTTATGATTCAACATTTGCTTTGTTTATTTCAGATCATGTAAGTTTTGAGAAAGCAATTGAAAAAGAGGAATGACGAAAGATAATAAAGAAATAAATTAAGTCAATTACGAAGAATAAAACTTAAGAGCTAATGGATCTATTGAAAGAAAAAAATGATATTGGATTGAAATAAGTATTCAAAATAAAATATAATATAAATGAAAGTATCTAAAAGTATAAGGCTCGACTGGTAAAAAGATATTCGTAGCAACAAGATATTGATTTTAATGATACTTTTTCTTTGGTTGTTAGATTCGAGACCATGAGAACTTTCTTAGCTTTAGCTACTCACTTGAATTAGCTTGTTGATTAATTTGACATGAAATCTATATTTTTAAATGAAGATTTATAAGAATAGGTTTTTGTTACTCAATCCAAAGATTTTTTTGTTAAAAGACATGAAGAATAGATGTATAAGCTAAAGAAAGCTATTTATAAACTAAAACAAGCTCAAAGGGCATGATATAATAAAATTAATTATTATTTTCATCGAACTGGATTTAAGAGGAGCAATAATAAACATACTCTTTATTTAAAGAAGTAAGGTAAACATTATATACTTATGGTTTGTCTTTATATCGATATATGACTTCATCTAACTCTTTTATTGTAAAATTTAAAAAATAAATGATGAATAAGTTTAAAATATTAGATCTAGGTCTATTGTACTATTTTCTTCGATTGGAGATAAAACAAGGATCATATGAAAATTTTATTTCAAAAAGTAAGTATGCAGATGTACTAAAAAAATCTAACATGATTTATTGCAAGGCTACAGTAACTCTTATGAATGTAAACTAGAAATTAAACTTGAAGATGATATATATTTGACAAATACAAGATATTATAGAAGTTTGATTTGATGTTTGATTTATTTAACTCGACCAGATATTACCTTCTCAAGTTTATATATAATAATCTAAGCAAACATCATCTCGGATGTTAAAAGAATTCTATGTTATATTGTTGGAACTACAAATTATGGCATTTGTTACTCTCATAATTTTAAATATAAATTATTTAGTTTCATTGATAGTGATTAGTCAAGAGCTTTGGATGATAGGAAGAGTACTTCAAGCAATATTTTTAGCCTTGGATCAGAAGTTATATCTTGGAGTTCAAAGAAGCAAGTAACAATTGCATTATCGATAGCATAAACAGAATATGTAGTTACAACATCAGTATGCCAAACAATCTGACTTAGAAGATTTCTTAGAGAACTTCATCAAAAACAAAAAGAAGCAATCGAAATATTTTGTGACAACAAAGCCAAAATTACAATGAAAAATAATCCAACCTTTCACGGAAGAACGAAGCATATAGAGATACACTATCATTATATCAGATCCTGTAATAAGTGGAGTCATAATAATGAAGTCTTATAGTACAAATAAATAAGTTGCAGATATTCTCAAAAGTATATTTATTTCATGAATCAAATTGGTGTAACTATAAATTAAAGAGAGTAAGGAGAATTGATTCATAGGTAGTCTTGAGTAGTTATCATGTTTTAGGTACCTAAATTAATAAGTGACCCATGATCTAATAAGTTATTGTCATGGGGGTACCTAAATTAATCTAGGGTGATATGATAGGATGAAATAGTTATCATTAAATCCTATAAATAGGATCATGATCCATAAAGTAAAAATATGTATATTTGAGAATATTTTATGAGTATTCTTAGTTTTACCTCTCGTTTAATATTATTTTTAATTTTTTTATTAAACAGATTCTCTTTTAATTATATCATAATATTTTATTTTTATCAGTTCCTTGTTCCGCCATTCCCAAGCATCTAATCGATGCGTGCCCTTACCACAAGCATCTCCAGCGCAGCAGTCGCAACGCAATTGGATACCCGGCGTCATTATACTCGCCGGAGGGTTACTATACCCGGCGCAACAGAAGCTCCACGCCGCCCCTACGCAGTTGGATAAGGTCAACCTCCGGCATCGCATGCTTGAGGTTGGAACAAGGACATGGCCTGTCCGAGATCTTTGGAT